ATTTCAACTTTAGGAATCTATTGAGTCCAGTATTTCTGGTCCTTTCTGAAAGACCAACACATCTTCCACAGGCAAATCATCATTTCCTTGCACTTCCATAGATTATACTATTGGGCCGGGCTTTAGCACAGCTGGTAAATCACCAGCAATGATAAGATCTACCAACTGAAAGGTTGCCAGTTCAAAGCCCTGGGTTGGTATGAGCACTGGACTGTTAACCCATTTCACTGTTTACCTAAGCAGTTCAAAAACAGCTTAGAGCTGTAGCTTCCCGTCAACAAGGTGAAGTATCATAGCAATGAAGATGGAGAATAAAGTTGGGGCAATAACACATCCCAATAACTACATCACCTAAATAAAGACATATTCTTTACCTATATAGTAACCGCCGCAAGGATAGTATTTGCGAAGTTTTGGAGGTAGAGGACTGGACAAATAAGATTCAAGAAATTAAAGATATGGACAAATTAACTTTTTGTTGAAAAAGAGTTCGGAAAATCCAATAAGAGAGACCGATTGGTCCCTTTTTGAAAAATTTTTAAAGGATAAGAGGAAGAAAAATACCAACGTAACTAAGGGATTAAGAAAAACGTTGTCTAAATAGTAGATATTGGAGAGGTAAATAAATGTTCTGTTGGAAGGTTTGGGTAAGACAAATATAATGGAATAAGACAATACATAACTGAGCGAAGACAAAATGGAAGTCAACAAACTATTTTTGATTTTTGGTTGTCGCTTTAAAGGTTAAAGCCAGCACTTTGAATTGTGCCCGGTAGCAAACTGGGAGCCAGAGGAGTTGTGCGCTCCTTGAGTGCTGCTCCTGTTAACAACCTGGCTACTGTCTGTTGGACCAATTGAAGCTTCTGAACAGTCTTCAAAGGCAGCCCCACATAGAGAGCGTTGCAGTAGTCTATACTGGATGTAACCAGAGTGTGGACTATCATGGCCAAGTCAGACTTCCCAAGGTACGGGCGCAGCTGGCGCACAAGTTTTAGCTGTGCCAATGCTCCCCTGGTCACTGACGAAACCTGGGGTTTCAAGCTCAGCGATGAATCCAAGCTGCCCATTAATACCCTATTAAAGGCCGATGTAAACATTGCTGTTGCTTGAATCCAGCCCTGCCCTATTGCTGATACGAAATCGAGATGAAGATCAATGACTGAGTTTTGCAGACCTGAAAACGTATATATACTGCTTGCCCTTTTGCAGCTGGAACTGGTTTCCACGCGCATCCAAGCCAGTGAGAATGTAGGTCGCATCATGGCCGAGGGGCTGGGTCCCCGCCCATCAGCCAACCGCATAGTGGCCTTAATCCAACCCCTCAGCTCTGCATGCGCCGCTACTCAGGCCACGCAAGGCTTTGTCTCTCTTCCTTTCCCTGCCTGACATCTCCTGAACCAGAGCTAATTATAGGCTCCAGCTCCGTTAACGAAGTAGAGAGGCTCCTGTGCCAAGCTTGGTTCAATTCCATCATTGGTGGAGTTCAGAATGCTCTTTGATTGTAGGTGAACTATAAATCCCAGCAACTACAACTCCCAAATATCAAGGTCTATTTTCCCCAAAGTCCATCAGTGTTCACAATTGGGCATATTGCGTATCCATGCCACGTTTGGTCCAGATCCATCGTTTGAGTCCACAGTGCCCTCTGGATGTAGGTGAACTACAACGCCCAAACTCTAGGTCAATGCCCACCAAACCCTTAAAATATTTTCTGTTGGTCATGGGAGTTCAGTGTACCAAGCTTGGTTCAATTCTATCATTGGTGGGGTTCAGAATGCCCTTTGATTGTAGGTGAACTATAAATCCCAGCAACTACAACTCCCAAACTCAAGGTCAATGCCCACCAAACCCTTCCATTATATTCTATTGGTCATGGGAGTTCAGTGTGCCAAGCTTGGTTCAATTCTATCATTGGTGGAGTTCAGAATGCTCTTGGATTGTAGGTGAACTATAAATCCCAGGAACTACAACTCCCAAACTCAAGGTCAATGCCTACCAAACCCTTCCAGTATTTTCTGTTGGTCATGGGAGTTCAGTGTGCCAAGCTTGGTTCAATTCTATCATCAGTGGAGTTCAGAATGCTCTTTGATTGTAGGTGAACTACAAATCCCAGCAACTACAACTCCCAAACTCAAGGTCAATGCCCACCAAACCCTTAAGGTATTTTCTGTTGCTCATGGGAGTTCAGTGTACCAAGCTGGGTTCAGTTCTATCATTGGTGGGGTTCAGAATGCTCTTTGATTGTAGGTGAACTATAAATCCCAGCAACTACAACTCCCAAATGTCAAGGTCTATTTCCCCCAAAGTCCATCAGTGTTCACATTTGGGCATATTGAGTATCCGTGCCAAGTTTGGTCCAGATCCATCATTGTTTGAGCCCACAGTGCCCTCTGGATGTAGGTGAACTACAACTCCCAAACTCAAGGTCAATGCCCACCAAACCCTTCCAGGATTTTCTGTTGGTCATGGGAGTTCAGTGTGCCAAGCTTGGTTCAATTCTATCATTGGTGGAGTTCAGAATGCTCTTTGATTGTAGGTGAACTATAAATCCCAGCAACTACAACTCCCAAACTCAAGGTCAATGCCCACCAAACCCTTCCAGTATATTCTATTGGTCATGGGAGTTCAGTGTGCCAAGCTTGGTTCAATTCTATAATCGGTGGAGTTCAGAATGCTCTTTGATTGTAGGTGAACTATAAATCCTAGCAACTACAACTCCCAAATGACAAAATCTCCCCCCCCCCCCCCCCCGGAATGGATAGACCTGTTTGTTTATCTGACTGCTTTGTTTTGAAACTGATCCTAAGACAAGACCGTATCCCAGAAGGCAGGACTACAAACCACGCAGAGATGCAGGCTGTCTGCTTAGATTTGGGTTTCTGTCCATCTCAACTGCAGCAATCTATCCGTCATTGTGGGATATTGTCAACCAGACTGGAATCCCATCCTCCTTAGGCATTGGGGAGAATGGAAATTGCAGCCTGACACATTGGGATGATGGGGGAGGCAATGGAAGTTGTAGTCGTTGCTCTCCTCTCGATAGAGAAAGTGGAATCGACATCTTGGAAATGCAATCCCCAAACATTTTGACTTCTTGTCTCCTTGGGTTTGTCACTTCTCTTCCAGCCTCTCGGTTCCTCCTTCCCGTCGCACCAAAGAGGCCGGAGGGTGGATTCGTCTTCTGCCTTTCTTCAGAGGAAGAGTTCACAAGAGTTCATTGCAGTCACTTTAATGCATTTCAACCAGTTGGAAGATCCTCTTTTCCACCCTTTTCCCACCCTTTGACTCCATCTATTTGGTTTGGGTATTTATCTGTTTGGGTATCAGCCAGCATGTCAACGACTTAAATCAAGACATAGTTTTCTTAGATCTACAGAGACACTCACTGGAACACCTCAGCAAGCGAGAGTCCAAAAGTGGCAGGCTCAAACCCAGAACCTCAACCAATGGCTGATACCAAATGAGAGACTCCCCCCTGGGCACACAGAAAACTGGGTGACTTGGAAAGCGCTGAACAGACTGCGCTCTGGCACCACAAGATGCAGAGCCAATCTTAAGAAATGGGGCCACAAAGTGGAATCCACGACATGCGAGTGTGGAGAAGAGCAAACCACTGACCACCTGCTGCAATGCACCCTGAGCCCTGCCACATGATGCGCAATGGAGGACCTTCTTGCGGCAACCCCAGAGGCACTCCAAGTGGCCAGATATTGATCAAAGGACATTTAACCAAATACCAAATTTGCAAAATCTGTGTGTTTTTTCCCCTTTTTCTTTTTAATCTGTGTGTTTGTTTTGCTCTGTTAGAATTGTGATACAATGGTTGCTGATGACACGATAAATAAATACTCCATCTATATTACTTACTTACTTACTTAGGCGATCCCTCGTTTGCTGAGTAGGATAGTCTTCCAGGATCAGAATTCTTGTGAGTCTGTAGGTGGCTGTGGAGTCCTATTCTTGATCTGCACCTTCTCCCGCAGTTTATTTTATTTATTTATCATGTCAGGGCAACTAGTCAATTATTTTACATTTCTAACAGTACAAAGCAAACAAACATATAAATACAAAACTTGTGAGTTTGGTAGTTGATTAAATGTCCTTTGACCAGTATCTGGCCACTTGGAGTGCTTCTGGTGTTGCTGCAAGAAGGTCCTCCATTGTGCATGTGGCAGGGCTCAGGTTGCATTGCAGCAGGTGGTCAGTGGTTTGCTCTTCTCCACACTCGCATGTCGAGGATTCCACTTTGTGGCCCCATTTCTTGAGGTTGGCTCTGCATCTCATGGTGCCAGAGTGCAGTCTGTTCGGTGCCTTCCAAGTCGCCCAGTCCTCTGTGTGCCCAGGGGGGAGTCTCTCATTTGGTATCACCCACGGATTGAGGTTCTGGGTTTGAGCCTGCCAGTTTCGGCAAACATTCATTGCCAATTTTTGACATACAAACATTTACAGACATACACAAAGGCTATTTAACTTTTTTCTGGCCGCTTTCATCGTCCATCTGCGATGCTGATGAAGCACCTCCGCATTCCCCGCACGCTTCCCCGCTGGACAGGACTCAATGTCACAAATGAATGGTAAAGCGGCAACTCCCCTGTGGCCAGAACTGAGCATACCCTCATTTATTTATTTATTTATTATTAACTTTATACCCAGCAAAATCTCCCGAAGGATTCGATGCGGCTTACCAAGGCCAAGGCCGCCAACAACAACAACATACAAATATAACAGTAAAACTCATAAGTAAATAATAAAACATCAAGCAAAAACAATAAAACACTAAAAACAATGACACCATGACGCACTTAAAACCTAAAACCTCATGAAGCTGGAAACGCTGGAATGTTAAATTGCCTCTATGTCTGTCTATATATGTTGTATGTCTAAATGGCATTGGATGTTTGCCATGTGTATGTGCACTCTAATCCGCCCTGAGTCCCCTGCGGGGTGAGAAGGGCGGAATATAGATACTTCAAATAAATAAATAAATACTGGGGAGATAATGGGTTTCAACAAGTTTTATTCAACTGTTTGAGGGAAGGGGCAAAATACACTTATATATAAAATCAGGCGCACACTTTCATAGGATCTGTTGAATGAAACGAGCCTCGTAGAGAGATTCTCCGTGTGAGAACATATTTTATTCTGCACTCAACCAGGAGACTAACACAGGCCGCGCTGTCATCCAAGTGCCATGCGCTCTGCTATAAAGGAGACATAGCACGGACACCGAGCGGCCGGCACAACATAAGGACTTGCAATACGAACACAACCAAGGGGGACTTTTGCTTCTCCCTTCACCCGTCAAGCCCACGTCCTCCATGCAAGTCGGCCATGTCGCGGCACGGATATACATTCAGACGGGCTTGTAGTCCAGCTTCGACTCCAGCTTCTTGGAATCGGCCACTTTCCTCACGGCCTTCATGAAGTCTTCCTGGACCACGAAGTCGTGGTCGGCACGGATGGCAAACATGCCTGCAAGGGACAAGCGCATAAGAGGCACGCAGAAAGAACCAAACTAGTTAATGGCAGGTGGAGCTGAATTCCGATTTTCTCACCCACCCAGAAGCTCTTTCATACTACATACCCCCATTTCACAATTACTGTTGTGACTCAGCAGCTTGACTCTGAGTCTGAAGCTGAGCCCTGTGGGTTTTGTGAGCCTCCTTGATGAGGAGGATGATGGGTTACAGATTTCTGTTCATGTCTCAGACAGGGTTGGAGGTGAGGCTGCAGAAAGGGAAACAGCAAGTCAGTTCTCAGGGGAAAAGAATATCAGTGAGGCTGATAACGAGAGTGATTTCCCACACGGCCAGGTGGAGATGTCTTTGCCTTCTTTGCCTTCCCACAGTGATCCAGCACAGCTGGTAAACCAAGATAAGGGATTAGAGAGCCTTGAAGATAATGAATTAATGAGCAGGAAAGATCGCCTCCAATTAAGGCTCCGGAGAAGTTCTCGCTTACCTAGTAAGCTTACCTAGTAAGCGAGAGGCCAAGTCGGCCAAAGGTCATCGCAATGAGTTCATGACTGCAAAGGGTATTTTGCCTTCTGGCTGACAAACAGGCGTTGTCAGTTCAACATGGCTCTTTCCATGCAAACTTCTATGGATTAACCTTGGCTTTAAGCAGCACACCTTTGGCTTCCTGATTCTGGGATTTTGGGTCTTGTGTTGTGCCAACTATCAGCTCTAGTTTTCTTGTACTCACTCTTTGTCTGCTGTTGAGAAGTTTCCGATTATTGACCTCAATTAGAGCAGGTTCTTGGCTTTCCTTGACATATTCTGCCAGGGCATCGTGTTTTTCTTCTTCAGCTGCTTGTTTGACTTGTAAAAGTCCTCTACCACCAGACTTTCTAGGCAGATAGAGCCGATCAACATCACTGCGAGGATGTAATTAATTATGAATGGTCATGACTTTTCTTGTTTTTCTGTCCAAATTGTCCAAGTTCTGCCTGTGTCCGGTTTATGATGCCGGCAGTGTATCTTATGCCAGGTAAGGCCCAGGTGTTTGTGGCCTTGATGGTGTGGCCTCCCTTGAGCTTGCTTTTGAGAATTTTTCTGACCCTTTGAATGTATTCTTTGCTGACCACAGTTTTCACATGTCCATGTTTGATGTTGTCCAGCTGTAGTACGCCCAGATATTTATAGGCCTCTGGCTAGTGACACTTTATTGCTTCGCCATTGGGTATATTTATGCCCTCACTTTCAATGATTTTTCCCTTCTTCAATGCCACTGTCGAACATTTGTCCAAACCGAACTCCATGTTGATATCTGTGCTAAAGATTTGGACAGTGTTAGTCAGAATCATCTCGGCCAGAGAGTTGTGCCTCTGTTTGTAGTCCGTCTGCGTGATTTTCTTGCAACAGCTGAGGATATGATCCATGTTTTCATCCGCTTCCTTGCACAGTCTGCATTTTGGGTCATCCACTGATTTTTCAATCCTGGCCTTAATGGCCTTTGTTCTGATGGCTTGCTCCTGGGCTGCAAGAATCAGGCCTTCTTCTGTCTCCTTCTTCAGGGTTCCATTCATGAGCCATCATCAGGTCTTCTCCTTGTCAACTTTTCCTTCAATCTTCTCAAGGAACTGCCCGTGTAAGGTTTTGTTGTGCCAGCTGTCAGCTCTGGTTTGGAGTGCAGTTTTCTTGTACTGTTGTGCTCTGAGAAGTTGTTGTTGTTGTTATTATTATTATTATTATTATTATTGGAAATCTGGTATACTGAAACCCACAAAAGTGAATCCTGGAGGGACAACTGTAGTGTGAAAGAGCCCAGCTTCCAGAAACATTATGGTTCTCTTTATGAAAACTACAGACCTCATTTTTTTTGTTGGTCCACTACAGGCCTAGCCCAACTTTGGCCTTCCCTCCAGGTGTTCTCTCCTAACTCCCGGTAGGCTGTTGGGAGTTGTGCGAGTTGGGAGTCCAAAACACCTGGAAGACCCAAGTTTGCCTATGCCTGTTCTGCAACTCCTAATCAAAAATATCAACAGTGAGCGATATTGGGAGTTGCAATCCAAAACCAACCACCTCTGCTTAAATAGGGGTTCAAAGACCACTCATGCCCCCTCTTCTGTTCAGACTAAATTATCTGAGCTTGCAACAAGGCTTCAAAAGAATCGCTGAAAGGCTTTCGGTTCCTTACCTGCTTCAGTACAGACATTTCTCAGATCCGCACCATTAAAGCCATCAGAAAGCTTCACAATTGCTTCATAATCTAAGTAATGAGACATAAATTGCTATGTTAAGCAGATCATAGAGTTGCATGCTGCACCTTACTATAAGAACTATTCTGAATCTATATACATAAAAATGTAATGTTCGTTTGTGGGATTAACATAACTCAAAAACCACTGGATGAATTGACACCAAATTTGGACACAAGACACCTAACAACCCAATGTATGTCCTTCACTCATAAAAACACTGAAAAACACAGCAGAAGGGACTTAAAAAGCCAAAAAAAAAAATACATTACAACGCATGCACAAAACCAAGAAGAAAGAAAGAAAGAAAGAAAGAAAGAAAGAAAGAAAGAAAGAAAGAAAGGAAGAAAGAAGCAAAGAGAGGTCAGGAAGAAAAGAGGTAGAGAAGGAAAAAAGGCAAGAAAGAGGAAGGAAAAGAAAAAGGGGGGAAGGAAAGAAAGAGGTAGAGAATGAAAAAAAGGAGAGAAAGGGAAAAGGGGGGGAGGAATGAAAGAGGTAGAGATGGAAGAAGGGAGAGAAAGAGGGAGGGAAAGAAAGACAGAAGGAAGGATGGAAGCAAAAAATGAAGCAAGGAAGGAAAGAGGTAGAGAATGAAAAAAGGAGAGAAAGAGGAAGGAAGAAAAGCAGGGGGAGGAATGAAAGAAGTAGAGAAGGAAGGAAGGAAGGAAGGAAGGAAGGAAGGAAGGAAGGAAGGAAGGAGGAATGAAAGAGGTAGAGATGGAAGAAAGGAGAGAAAGAGGGAGGGAAGGAAAGAAAGAAGGAAGGATGGCAGCAAAAAGCGAAGGGAGGAAGGAAAGAGGTAGAGAAGGAAGAAAGGAGAGAAAGGGAAGGAAAAGAAAAAGGGGGGAAGGAAAGAAAGAGGTAGAGAATGAAAAAAGGAGAGAAAGAGAAAGGGAAAAAGGGGAGAGGAATGAAAGACGTAGAGATGGAAGAAAGGAGAGAAAGAGGGAGGGAAGGAAATAAGGAAAGACAGAAGGAAGGATGGAAGCAAAAAACGAAGGAAGGAAGGAAAGAGGTAGAGAAGGAAGAAAGGAGAGAAAGGGAAGGAAAGGAAAAAGGGGGGAAGGAAAGAAAGAGGTAGAGAATGAAAAAAGAAAGTGGAGGGAAAAAAGGGGGGATGAAAGAGGTAGAGATGGAAGAAAGGAGTGAAAGAGGGAGGAAAGGAAAGACAGAAGAAAGGATGGAAGCAAAAAAGCGAAGGAAGGAAGGAAAGAGGTGAAGGAGGGAAAGAGGAAAAGAAGGAAGGAAGGAAGGAAGGGAGGGGGGAGCGAAGGAAGGAGGGAAAGGGGAGAAAGAGGAAGGGAAGGTTGGCCACAGCAACCCATGGCGGGTACAGCTAGTCCATAACAGTTCTGCCTTGAGTGAAAAGGGACTATATAAATGAAAGTAGCAGAAATTGGGGTTTTTTGTTTGAAACCATGGATTGCTAAAAAGACAACCTGATGAGGACCAAATCAAACAAAGCTGGAACACTCCCTAGAAGCCACAATGACTCAACAGACAGACAGACATGAGACACTAATAATGTGCAATAAAGTGGAAGGCTATCAGAAAAGGGGAACAGTGCACAACAGGCGGACTGAATCAAAGCAGGGAGGTTAATGACCAGAGCCTCTTGCAACTATAAACTAAATATATCGTGATGGCTTATAACATCAATATATGACACAAGCTGGACCAGGTTCCAAAACTACACGTAACATGTAATCCAGAAGGCCTATAGATACCATTTCAATGTTTCCAAAACTTACCAATTTCTCCATGTTTGGTTATAGGCCCAGCATGGATCTTCAGGATGTCTAACCTGGCTTGTTCATTTGGCAAATCAATATCTAGAAAGGAAAGAAAGAAAAATAATAATAATAATTCTGCATTCTTATCTGTGGTGGAGGCTCCTTCTTTGAAAGCTTTTAAACTGAGGCTGGATGGCCATCTGTAGGGGGTGATTTGAATGCAATTTTCCTGCTTTGGTAGGGGGTTGGACTGGATGGCCCCTGGGGTTTTTTCCAACTCTAGGATTCTATGATTCCAAGCTGCCTTGGGTCCCAGTCTTGGGGAAAAGGCGGAGTATAAATAGAAAGGCATGCAGAGAACTGTGCGATCACACAAGGTCCACTCACGGATTTTCCTGTCCAGCCGCCCAGGACGCAAAAGGGCCGGATCCAGAGTATCTGGTCTATTTGTAGCCATGATCATTTTAACTCTGTGCAGAGTGTCAAATCCATCCATTTGATTCAATAACTGAAAGGTGATGCAAGAAAGCAAAGATGTCAGTTCTTCACCCCTGAGAAGTGCAGTGAGCAATATTGCTTTGCTCTGCTTTCCAAATACATGCAATGTGGAACCTAAGACATATCCTTATACCCTATCCCAGTCTCCTTGAACCTGAAACCGCCTGGAAAAGATCACAGAATTAGAAGAGGCCCCCAAGTCCAATCTCACTATGTGGGAACCGTTGGACCAGTGTTTCTCAACCTAGGGGTCAGGACCCCTGGAGGGGTCGTGAGGAGGGTTCAGAGGGGTCGCCAAAGACCATCAGAAAGCACGTGTTTCTGATGGTCTTAAGGAACCTTTTGGCAGAGAGGGCTGAAGATCTCTCCGCCTGTCCTTCTCTTCCTTTTTGGTGTTGGTGAACTACAACTCCCAGAATTCAAAAACATCCCCCCAACCCCACCAGTATTGAATGTTGGCCATGCAGGTAGTGTGCCAAGTTTGATGCAGATCCATCATGGACTGGGTTCAGCATGTTCTTTTATTGTAGGTTAACTATAAATCCCAGCAACTACAACTCCCAAATGTCAAGGTCTATTTTCCTCAGTGTTCACATATTAAGTATCCGTGACAAGTTTGGTCCAGATCCATCATTGTTCGAGTCCACGGTGCTCTCTGGATGTAGGTGAACTACAACTCCCAAACTCATGGTCAATGTCCCTTCCAGTATTTTCTGTTGGTCGTGGGGATTCTGTCTGCCAAGTTGGGTTCAATTCCTTCATTGGTGGAGTTCAGAATGCTTTTTGATTGTAGGCGAACTATAAATCCCAGCAACTACAAATCCCAAATGACAAAATCAACCACCCCCCAGTATTCAAATTTGGGTGTATTGGGTATTTGTGCCAAATTTGGTCCAGTGAATGAAAACACATCCTGCATATCAGATATTGACATGATGGTTCATAACAGGGGCAACATTACAGTTATGAAGGAGCAACGAAAATTATTTTATGGTTGGGGGGGGGGTCACCCCAACATGAGGGGACCGTATGAAGGGGTCGCTGTATTAGGAAGGTTGGGAAGCACTGCGTTGGACGAATATAATAATATAATTAAAAACTTTATTTATACCCCACCACCTTCTCCCCAAAGGGGACTCGGAGCGGCTTACATGAGGCCAAGCCCAGCAATACATTACAGCAAAATAAAATATAAACAACAAAAATAACATCACAATAAAATAAATAAGCAAAGCAAGTAAAATAAACAGTGCAAAATAACATAATGGAAAATCAATGGGCTTATTAACAAAAGGCCTTCTTCACAAATCTATAGCAGGGTAAATTATTAGCAGCAGTATGGCCCAGCATCAGTAGCCCAAAGTGACACAAAGAACAAAACACACACAGACCAATGTGATCTCTTCTATAGCTCTATAGCAAAATAATATGGTTGTACTATTTACAAGAGCAAGGTTTCCATAACACAAATGAAGTTCTTTATCTTCCTTCTTTGTTTCCACATTGGGCTTCTTTCTCACAAAGATAAACAGCTTCACTCTCACAGAGCTGCCTCTCACAACAAACTTGCATAGGAGCTTCACACAGTAGCTTTACACACAAGGCCTTCAACCTGGGGCTTCTCTCACCAAAGCTTCTCACACCAGGCATTTTCACACTGTGAGGCCTTCTCACAGTCTAAGACCTACCTCACACAGAGGTTTCTCTCACAGACTAAGACCTACCTCACACTGTGAGGCCTTCTCTCACAAACTAAGGCCTACCTCACACTGTGAGGCCTTCTCTCACAGACTGCCTCACACTGTAAGGCCTTCTCTCACAGACTAAGGCCTACCTCACACTGTGAGGCCTTCTCTCACAGACTGCCTCACACTGTAAAGCCTTCTCTCACAGACTAAGGCCTACCTCACACTGTAAGGCCTTCACTCACAGACTGCCTACCTCACACTGTAAGGCCTTCACTCACAGACTAAGCCCAACCTCACACTGTGAGACCTTCTCTCACAAACTAAGGCCTACCTCACACTGTGAGGCCTTCTCTCACAGACTAAGGCCTACCTCACACTGTAAGGCCTTCTCTCACAAACTAAGGCGTACCTCACACTGTGAGGCCTTCTCTCACAGGTTTAAGGCCTACTTCACACTGTGAGGCCTTCTCTCACAGACTAAGGCCTACCTCACAATGTAAGGCCCTCTCTCACAGACTAAGGCCTACCTCACACAGTGAGGCCTTCTCTCAGACGGAGATCTTTCTCCCACTAAGGTGAACTAACACTGAGGCCTACCAAACTACAGACACACCTACTTATACGGAAATGAAGCTTTTATTGAGTCATTGCATCCATTTAATCCTTTCAGTGTTTTACTCACATTTTTGTAATTAAAAACACCTGGTTAATTTTTAATATTTCTGACAGGAACAAACAATAAAAGCCCCTGTAAGAGATGGCCAGGAAGTTTTTCCTAATGTCTTCCCCTGTATTTTGAATCTATTGATCCTTGTTTAAAGCCTCTGGAGCAGCAGAAAACAACCTGGCCGCTTCCTAAACGTGACATCCTTTCAGATATTTAAACATGGCTATCATGTTGGACTACAATTCCCACAATCAGCCAGGAAGCATACCTGGAGAACATGAAAGGTTGCAGTCCAACACATCCAGAAAGTTCTAGGCTGAAGCAGAGATCAAGCAATTGATCCCTCCCACAAAAATAATATGTATTGATTAATCATACATCTTCCTTTTTGATGTGTCATTCAAGCCTGAGAATCTTATGGCCATCGGAAATATGAATACCTTATTTTTCTTAAACACGAGGCCCACTATGATCAGATAAATTGTATCTGGGAATTTTACCTCCATTAAAGTCCTTTGAATTTCCCTGTCAGCTGACGTTCCCTCTGAAAACCGGCGCCCACCTGGAGGGAAAAACCATCACAATCAGAAAATATATTTATTTATTTACAGTATTTATATTCTGCCCTTCTCACCCCGAAGGGGACTCAAGAGTGGATCACAGAACACATATACGGCAAACATTTAATGCTGATTATACAATGACAAGACAGATACCTGCACATAGATAAAGGCATATAGGCTTTCCCATCTTGGGCATCTTGGAGGCTGTGCTCAGTTCCGGCTGTTGCTCCACTTTCCCTGCTGAAGAGCTTTTGTTTATAAGGTAAGGTAAAGGATTTTCCTTGACATGAAATCCAGTCGTATCCGACTCTGGGGGCTGGTCTCATTTCCACTTCTAAGTCGAAGACCTGGCGTTGTCCACAGACACTTCCAAGGTCATGTGGCCATAGGCATGACTGCATGAAACGCCTTTACCTTCCCGCATGAGCGGTACCTATTTATCTACTTACATTTGCATGTTTTTGAACTGCTAGGTTGGCAGAAGCTGAGGTTAAACAATGGGAGCTCACGCCACTCCCCGGATTTGAAACTGCGACCTTTTGGTTAGCAAGTTCAGCAGCTCAGCAGTTTAACCCACTGCGCCACTGGAGGCTTCCTTTGTTCATAAACTTCCTCCTTACTTGAATCCCCAGCATTTTCTGGCATTTCCTTATGGGTGCCTTAAATGCCTCCCTGCTTTAAGCAATACCTATTTATCTACTCACATTGCTGTTTTTGAAACTGCTAGGTAGACAGAAACTGGGCTAAAGGTTCTTTTTTTTAAATTATTTTAATTAGATTTTATTAATACAGTAGTAAAAAAGACAAAGGAAAAACACAAAACACACAACGCTAACATATCGACAGACGAACCTTCGACAGACACAACGTATAAAGTCAACATTAAAAATAACCAGCAATAACATCAGACCTCCACCTCTCTCTAACATGGTATTTCAGAATATGTTTCAGCCAGTTCTTCACATATGATCTTTCCTTACTCTTTTCTTTCTCTCATTTTCTTATTTTACTATATTTTATATGTCTACATTTTCTAGGCTAAAGGTTCTTATAGTATTGTATTGACACAATTTGGAAGTTTCAAAGTTTTTGATCAAAATCTAGACTTTAGAAGAAAACCTGCATCCCCCCTCCCTCCCCCAATGTGATTGGATTTCAATTTCCACAAGCTCCACAGTCAACAATAAGGAATTATAGGAAATGTTTCACTTCTCCTATTGTTAGGAATTGTGGGAGTTGAAGTCCAAAACACCTGGAGGGCTGAAGTTTGCTCAATGCCTTCTAGACTGCAACTTGTGCCTATGCAACACTGTCTATGCAATCCAGGGCCAATGGGTCTTGTAGTACAACATCACCTGGGAGGGCACACTGTCAGCAACCCCCCCCCCCAACACATTTGCCTCCATGCAATGCAATTCAGATGCTCAGAGGGACAGATTTTTTTCCCCTGAGGAGAAAGCCAAGGACGGATCTGCCTTACCAATAGCATCAATTTCATCCATGAAGATGATGCAGGGCTGGTGATCCCGAGCATAGTTGAACATTTCTCTGATCAGCCGAGCACTTTCCCCAATGTATTTGTCCACAATGGAACTAGACACAACCTGAGGAAACAGGATAGGAGGCAACATGAGCAGCAAATAGATTTTGTTTAACATCCCAGAAAATAATTTCATGAGCCAAAGACCTAGGGAAAAATACTGGTTTAGAGAAATGGGAATATTATCGATGGAAAAGAAGGTTTATTTTGAGAGATAGAAGCTATAATGGATATGGAGATAGGGAAAAGTGCAAGCATTGCATTGTCACTATATAATGTTAAGAAATTGAAGAAAACAGAGAAAGATGCAATAGACAACATGTTAACTGCAGCAAGATTACTGATAGCAAAGAATTGTAAAGATAAAATAAATATATCAATTGAAGAATTGTATAAAAGAACTATGGAAAATAGTAATAAATGATAAATTGACGTGCAGGTTAAGAGTCAGGAAAGGCGTATGGAAGGAAAATGACTTTAATAAAGTTTGGGGAAAATTTATTGAGAATGGATTAAAAGAAGTAGATGGGAAATTACCTCCACAAGAAGAAACGGTATTTTGGAAAGAGAATGTAAATTGAAGTGGCTCGGAAGAGGGGGGGGGGGCACAGAGGTGAACAAAAAAGTATACAAGATATATATACAGTTATAGTTGATGTAATGAATTGAGGATGGAATATAAGAGTATTGAAGGTATTGATGTATTCTAAGAAAACCAATAAAATATTTTTTAAAAAAAGGAAAAGAAGGTTTAGATTTTCAATAGCTGGGATCTATTACAGAAAATATGTATAAAATATCCTATAGAAGTTATATAACGCCAGGGATGCTAGCTAAATTTCTCCGAGGGGGATGCTAGAGATGTAAGACACAGAAGGGCACTTTTTTCCACATTTGGTGGTTATGTAGGATGGTACAAGATTTTGGGGAAAACGTGGTTAAGGAAACAAGCAAAATTGTATTGTCGAAGGCTTTCATGGCTGGAATCACTAGGTTCTTGTGGGTTTTTCGGGCTATAGGGCCATGTTCTAGAGGCATTTCTCCTGACGTTTCGCCTGCATCTATGGCAAGCATCCTCAGAGGTAGTGAGGTCTGTTGGAATTAGGACAATGGGTTTATATATCTGTGGAATGGTGGGGTGGGGCAAAGAGCTCTTCTCTGCTGGAGCTAGGTGTGAATGTTTCAACTGACCACCTTCATTAGCATTTGAAGGCCTGGCTGAGCCTGGGAAAATCTTTTGTTGAGAGGTGTTAAGATGTGCCTGGTTGTTTCCTCTCTGCTGTTTTGCTGTTGTAATTTTAAAGGCACATCTTAACACCTCTCAACAAAAGATTTTCCCAGGCTCAGCCAGGCCTTCAAATGCTAATGAAGGTGGTCAGTTGAAACATTCACACCTAGCTCCAGCAGAGAAAAGCTCTTTGCCCCACCCCAGCCATTCCACAGATATATAAACCCATTGTCCTAATTCCAGCAGACCTCACTACCTCTGAGGATGCTTGCCATAGATGCAGGCGAAACGTCAGGAGAAATGCCTCTAGAACATGGCCCTATAGCCCGAAAAACCCACACAAACAAAATTATCAAAAAAGTAAGAAAAAACCCAAAAATGTGTCTTTTAGGATTATTTAGGGTGGGAAATAGTAAAGGGGGTGCAGAAATTTGTCAATATAGCTTTGTAAACAACCAGATGGATCATAGAAAAGTCTTGGAAGGGGGAAAAAGATCTATCTAAAAAGGACCGAAGAGGAAAGTTATCAGACTAAATGGCTAAGCTATCTAATGGTGTTCAAGAAGGAAATAATAAATTGTTTGCCAAAAAATTAAAGCTGATATTTGTATATCTTATTCTAGTATCTGTATTTGTTTTTCTCTTGTATACAATCTATATAAATAAAAATGTAATGTTTGTTTGTGGGATTAACATAACTCAAAAACCACTGGAAGAATTGTCACCAAATTTGGACACAATACACCTATCAGGCCAATGATATATGTTTATAAAGTATATGTTTTATACTTTAATGCTATGTTGTTTATTTTATTGCAGTTAAGTGTAATCTGTTGTTTGGGCTTGGCCTCATGTAAGCAAGATACTCCACTTTGGCAGAAAAAACAAAATGCAAAGATACAGAATGGGGGATGCCTGGCTTGAGAGCAGTACGTGTGAGAAAGATCTTGGAGTCCTCGTGGACAACAAGTTAAACATGAGCCAGCAATGTGATGTGGCGGCAAAAAAAGCCAATGGGATTTTGGCATGCATCAATAGGAGCATAGTGCCTAGATCTAGGGAAGTCATGCTCCCCATGCTCTATTCCGCTTTGGTTAAACCACACCTGGAATATTGTGTCCAATTCTGGGCACCACAATTCAAGAGAGATGTTGACAAACTGGAATGTGTCCAGAGGAGGGAGAAAGATCTTGGAGTCCTCGTGGAATGTGTCCAGAGGAGAGCAACTAAAATGATCAAGGGTCTGGAGAACAAGCCCTATGAGGAGCGGCTTAAGGAGCTGGGCATGTTTAGCCTGAAGAAGAGAAGGATGAGAGGAGATATGATAGCCATGTATAAATATGTGAGAGGAAGCCACAGGGAGGAGGGAGCAAGCTTGTTTACTGCTTCCGTGGTGACTAGGACAAGGAACAATGGCTTCAAACTACAAGAGAGGAGATTCCATCTGAACATGAGGAAGAACTTCCTGACTGTGAGAGCCGTTCAGCAGTGGAACTCTCTGCCCCGGAGTGTGGTGGAGGCTCCTTCTTTGGAAGCTTTTAAACAGAGGCTGGATGGCCATCTGTCAGGGGTGATTTGAATGCAATATTCCTGCTTCTTGGCAGAATGGGGTTGGACTGGATGGCCCAGGAGGTCTCTTCCAACTCTTTGATTCTATGATTCTAAGCCGACCCGAGTCCCCGTTGGAGGAGATGGTGGCAGGGTATAAATAAAGATGATGATGATGATGATGATGATTATTATTATTATTATTATTAACGAGTGCCCATCACTCATAAAACACTGAAAAACACAGCAGAAGAGACTTAAAAATTCAAAAAATACATTACAACGCATGTGCAAAACCACATATATAAATGCAAAACACATATATACACATATACACACACGGCCACGGCACCGCGTGGCAGGGGATGGCTAGTATTATTTATTTCATATGCTTCTATCCCGCCCTTCTCCCCACAAAGGGGACTCAGGGAAGCATCACATAAGCATCTTATGATGTATATGCTTACAACATATACATCATAAGAAAAACAGTAAAAACAGTAAAAACATTTTAAAACATTGTACAAATCAACCAAAACATTCATTTAACAATAATATTAGCATGCCAGTAAAACCAAAAATCAAGCCAGGGAATCCAATATCGCAAACCCAAAGTTCCTTTTCCTATTATCACTATCATCTAGTCAAATGCCTGGACCCAGAGCCAGGTCTTCAGTTGTCTTCTAAAAAATAAACAAAAAAAATCCAGAAAAGAACTCTAGTTATTACCTTTAAGAAATTGCAGTCCAACTGACTGGCAACAGCTCTGGCCAGGAGAGTTTTCCCTGTGCCTGGATGGGAAACACACAAAGTTCAAGAATAAAGTATCAAGGAAGAATGTCCTTAAAAAATGTCAGCTACTGAGACAGAGTTGGCCATTGGACAGGGCAGAAAGGTACTGAAGGGATGGAGCATGGTTCAAGGAAACCCGCAATCAAATTCTCACTCTACCATTAAGGAAACCATATTGTCTCCAATCCTTTTGCTTGATCCAGCTTTCTTTACAAGCTTGTTAGGAGAAACAGGAAATCCTAACAACAACTTCATTTATATCCCTCCACCATCTCCCAAAAAGAACTCAGGGCAGCTTAGAAAATAACACAACCAAAGTGCAACACAGAACACATAGAGTACAACAAAATTTATGAGTAATATTATGAACCCATGAGGGGCATAAGACAATATATTGTCTAAAACATATAATTTAAAAATGGAATAAAGTGCATTTTCAAAATTATATTTTAAAGGCACTAAATTTTACACTTCTGTTCAAGGCTGGAACAAACCTAAAGATCCGGATGTAAACCCTGCTATTGAGGTAGATTAGTGCTCTCTCCATTCTTTGGAGATGGCTCCTAAAATCTGGTTAGCTTGACTAGCCTTACACCGCTTTAAAGTCTCATTATGAGAGAAATAGCTGCATATAAATAAAAATAATAAATGTAATATTTTTTGGTCGTGTCAGGAGTGACTTGAGAAACTGCAAGTTGCTTCTGGTGTGAGAGAATTGGCTGTCTGCAAGGACGTTGCCCAGGGGACACCTGGATGTTTATCATTCTTGTGGGAGGCTTCTCTCATGTCCCCGCATGAGGAGCTGGAGCTGACAGAGGGAGCTCATCCGCGCTCTCCCCAAATTCGAACCTGTGACCTGTCGGTCTTCAGTCTGGCCAGCACAGGGGTTTAACCCTCTGCGCCACTGGGGGCTCCATTAATAAATGTAATAATAACTGTTGAAAATCCACCAAACCCTTCTTAGATTGTTTGTCTAAGACAGTGTTTCTCAACCTGGGGGTCGGGACCCCTGAGGGGGTCACGAGGGGGTGTCAAAGGGGTCACCAAATATAATCAGAAAACACAGTATTTTCTGTTAGTCATGGGGATTCCATGTGGGAAGTTTGACCCAATTCTATCATTGGTGGAGTTCAGAATGTTCTTTGATTGTAGTGAATTATAAATCACAACAACTAAAACTCCCAAATGTCTAGGTCTATTTTCCCCAGACTCCACCAGTGTTCAAACTTGGGCATATTGAGTATTTGTGCCAAGTTTGGTCCAGATCCATCATTGTGTGAGTCCACAGTGCTCTCTGAATATAGGTGAACTACAGCTCCCAAACTCAAGGTCAATGCCCACCAAACCCTTCCAGTGTTTTCTGTTAGCATGGGAGTTCAGTGTGCCCAATTTGAATAAATTCCATCACTGGTGGAGTTCAGAATGCTCTTTGATTATAGGAAAACTATAAATCCCAGCAACTTCCAAATAACAAACTCAACCTCACCAGTATTCATATTTGGGCGTATTGAGTATTTGTGCCAAATTTGTTCCAGTGAATGAAAATACATCTTGCATATCGGATATTTACATTTTGATTTATAACAGTAGTAAAATGACTGTTATGAAGTAGCAAAGAAAACAATGTTATGGTTGGGGGTCACCACAACATGAGGGACTGTATTAAGGGGTCATGGCATTAGGAAGGTTGAGAACCACTGGTCTAAGAAATCCTAAACCATAACTAAACCAAGCAGCTCCTCTTCCTCCAATAAAAACATTCTAGGCCTTCTAAAACAGCATTACTCAACCTTTCCTATACAGTCCGCCCTCCAAAGTGCAATCAAAGCGTGCTGGCGAGACCCACAGGTTGGAAATTATGGCTCTCCACATCTTATGCAGTTGTCCAAGTCTTGTGGAGCACTCTTCCCTGGAATTGTTGCATCCTAATTGGGCTTGGCACTATTTGCCCTCAAAAAAGGGAATGCCATCACTCAACACTGGTCCGACATGAAATATCCCCAAGCGACCGACTGACTTATTTGCTTAGGAATGGAAGAGGTAAGCACAAAAGACTCTCAGGAGACCAACCTGGAGGGCCATACAGCAAGCAGCCTTTGGGAGGAATGATCCCCACGCGCTGGAACAGTTCTGGGTTTGTCAGGGGCAGCTCTATCACCTGCGCAGAAGAGGAGCAACAGCAAAGATGTTACTACCACTTCAGGGAACAGGTCAGATTTGTTTAACCTTAATGAAGTAAATCTGAAGCAAATAATGCGCCAGATCTTTGGGAGATGGGTTCAGTTGCATTCTGCCAGGAAAATGCCAAGAACCACAGACTCAGTTATCATCTTAGGGTTATATGATTCTAGTTTAACCAACAGCACTATGTGGCACTTAGACTATGCCAACTTCATAGGAAATACAAAAGTTGAGCAGATTATCATGGCTTTTTTCTTGTTGTTGTTCCGACACTGAATGCATAAAGATAATCAAACAGCAATTAAGCTACAGTATAGGAGAGCAAATTGGCAATTTTAAAACACTGGTCTGAAATCTGTCGCTAAACTTAACTGGAGTATACAGATTGAATTGATGAGATTCATTTATGTGTTGGCTTATCATTTTATAACTGAACATTAATGAAAAGAAATCAGGAGAAAATAATCCTACAACCATTGTAATAAAAGCAGGTACACTGGATTTATGTTATGTAAAGCTATAATTATTTGCATGTATACATTTCTAAAAGAATGGAGCTCTGTGAATTTGTAAAAATAATACCATATTCAAAGTCAAACTTAGAATTGATATTTTAAAAATTAGAAGACAGAGTTGCACCGGGACTGTGCTGCAGCTGTCTGAGTGTCAGCTGCATTAAGATCACTTCTGACCACAAAATCATGAATTCGAAGCCAGCCCGGGTGAGCTTCCGACCAATTGTGTAGCTTGTTGTCGACCTTTGCAACCCGAAAGATAGTTGCATCTGTCAAGTAGGAAAATTAGGTACCACCCATATGTGGGGAGGCTAATTTAACTAATCTGCAAGGCCATAAAAAAGACTCCAGCAAAGCACTCCAGCAAAAGCATGCGGGGAATGCGGAAGTACTTCATCAGTGTCGCAGATGGAAAGCGACAGCTCCCCTGGCAGCCAGAAAAAGTTAAATAGCCTCTGACTGTTTGTCTATATCTGTTGTGTGTCTTTGGCATTGAATGTTTGTCATATATGTGTACATTGTAATCCACCCTGAGTCCTCTGCGGGGTGAGAAGGGCGGAATATAAATACTGTAAATAAATAATACACTAATTGGAAGTAGTCCCACTTCTGTTTAGTTAACTTAGTATTGTAGGTGTAGTGTTTAGTGTTTCAATGTATTCAACCTTTCATAATCAGTTAGTTATGCAAACATGCATACTTGTTACTCTTCCTGAGTCTTCTCGATTTTGTCTAAAATTTATCTATATAAATAAAAATGTAATGTTCGTCTGTGGGATTAACATAACTCAAAAACCAATTGTTGAATTGACACCAAATTTGGACACAATACACCTATCAGGCCAACAAGTGACCATCGCTCATAAAAACACTGAAAAACTCAGCAGAAGAGACTTAAAAAGCCAAACCCCCCCCCCCCAAAAAAAACAAAACAAAATACTTTACAATGCATGCGGAAAACCACATATATACACACAGACACATATATACACATATATATACACACAAAACATATATACACAGACTGGGCCACAGCAACACGTGGCAGGGGACGATTAATGGGAAATAATAATTTAAAAAGAAAGAAAATGAAGTAAGTCTCTATACTGCTTCTTTCTTTAAAAAACTCTGAAAGTAATTTATAATAGTAAAATGACCCACAAAAATAGAATAAAGCCAATAAACAAACTAATAAGAACATAATTAAGAACAAAGACTATGCATGCACAAAATCTACAGGGGATGGAAGAAAGCTGGGAAATATTTTTCTTGATATAGTGAAAATACCTCTCTGAGTTCCCTAATTTGTTCCGACAGCCCACCAATCTCAGAATAGGAGACATCACCAGGATCTTCGTGAGACATGTTGTACACCAGCGGATCAACTTCTCTCGGCAAATATCTGAATGGAAGAAATGATAAGAAATATTATATTCTGACTGTGAAGGAGACATTTAAAAATCTCTCAACATCACCTTCTAAACTTTATCTACTTCTGTAGTTGTATTCCAAAGTTTAAAAACCAACATCTAAGAAAACTATTTATATGGCACTTTTTCAAAAGGCAGTTCGTACAAAGCACTGAACTGTCAATTGACACAAAAGGAAAAAAACGCCGATTTAACACAATATGCCTTGAACTCATGTATTTTCCCTGACATCTCCTCCTGGAGAGGAACAATAAAGCGGATTCAGCTTCATTTTAGCAAATTCTTGGCTTAAACTTCTGGTGAAAATAAAAAATTATGGTATGGGATAACTGTTTGCTGATTCTTTAAGCAAACACACAAAATCCTGGCCAAAGTCCACTCTCTTTACTTCACTCCAGAGTTGTATAGGTAATTCTGCTACAGGCTGAGTATCCCTTATCCTAAAGGCTTGGGATCAAAAGCATTTAGATTTCTGAATCCCTCCGTTTGTATATATGGACATAACAAGATAGCTTGGAGAAGGGACCCAGGCGTAAACACAATATTCACTGATGTTCATATATACCTTTATCCATATAGCCCAAATGTGATTTTATACCATATTTTTTATAATTATGTGTGTAAATCAAAGTATGTGTGCACTGAGTTATCATAAAGTAAAGGTGTCATTATTTCAGCCATCCAGTTGGACAATTCTGGAGGATTTCGCAATACTGGATAAGGGGTGCTCAAGTTGTATTTTGCAGTAACTCCGCTGAACGCTTCCTCCATCTCTCTATTGCAGGCATAGGCAAACTTAGGCCCTCCAGGTGTTTTGGACTTCAACTCCCACAATTCCTAACAGCCTACTAGAGGGCCTGGAGGGCCCAAGCTTGCCCATGCTTTCTCTATTGCCTCAAACCGTCAATGTACCCCACAAAGCAATGGATAATAAAAACGCACCTCATAATAGTTAGAGTGGTCATATCTAAGGCAACTCTTGTCCCAGGCTTCAGTTTACTTTTATCGAGCTAAAGGTCAAGAAAAAAGAGGCACAATTGTTAAGTCTGTCCCTAAAGAGTTGAAGAACCATTCAAATGTATACTTTTGCACAGAATGCTCTCAATAATTACCAATACATATTAATTCATCTTGCTAGACATAAAACATTAATGCCTTCTTCCACAAATACATTAAGAATCTAATGAAGAAAGGCAGGAATGATCAGACCAAATTAATTTCTCAAACCAATCTGAGGACAAAATCCACAGGGACAAATAAAAAGATTAGAATATTAATTGCAGATAAAGAAGGACCCTTCCCTTAATAATAAGAGGCGGCTTGAACTGTAAGAACGAATTCAAAACAGCCATTTACGAGGGTACAGTCATACTAGTGACAGGAACCGACAGCTCCATAGCTGAATCCGGTTCAAGTTAAACAAAACTGACCCTCTTAACTTTCTCTGAGGCTGCTCAAGATCTTCAGTCCCATTGCTCACCCAGAGTTCAAGTACAGGCAGTCAGTCCCCAAGTTAGGAACAAGATAGGCTCTGTAGGCTTGTTCTTAAGTTGAATTTGCATGTAAGCCAAAGCAGGTACATTTTAAACTGAAGCCACACACACACACATATTTATATATAAAATAAAACTTTATTTATACCCTGCCACCATCTCCCCAAGGGACTCGGAGCAGCTTATATGAGGCCAAGCCCAACAGCACATCAATAAAACAAAAAACAAAACAAAAATAAAATAAACAAAAACAATAAATACAATACAATTAATATAAATCACATATAAACAATAACCAATAAAAAGTAGCACACAAGGATTTAAAAACCTATGGCTGGGACAAATGTAATAGTTTAAAAATTAAAAAAATAAACGCTGGGCATGAACAAGTTAGGATATATCTGGTATAGGGTTTTAAAAGAGAGATGAGGGAGCGCAGTCAATTCTAAACCAGTAGTAAAGTGCATTCTGAGGACATATTGCTGGGAATTTTCCTTATTCTGGGAAGGCACACTGGAACAGTACACACATACATACATACACACACTTTAGATAGCATTGGGAAGACTTAATGTCCCTGTGGGGTTTGTTTGGCTGTCTGTACTCCTGCTCAGAAGATTACACTTTTCATCCTTGTGATCACTGGATCTTGGAAAATTTGGCTTGTTGTGGAAACAAGGATTCGTGATAAAGCTTCAGTGGAGATTCCTTTTCCCCATTATAACAACTCAACAAGGAGTGGATTTCTCTTTTGAGGGGTAGACTTCTCTCATTTCCTGTTGTCTCACCCCTGTTCTTAAATATGAGTCGTTTGTAGTAATAATTATAATAAGGAGATTTTATTTCTAACCTGCACCTTAAAAAGGGGCTGAAAAAGGCTTATACTCAAGTATCTACTAATGAAGCCTTCAAAACAACTCAAGTTTTCTGTAAGCCATAAAAGCTTATACCATATAAAACATGTCGAGTTTACTAGGTGCCACAAGACTATCCTCTGTTCATCCTCAAGTCTGCTCCTGTCGAGTTCTGATCTGAGAAACTGAGGCAGAAAAATTCAAAAATAGCTACTTACCTGCCGCCGACAGCCAACAACATATCTTGGTCCATTCGTTGCTTTGACAATGACTAAAAGCAGCAAAGAAAAGCAAATGACAATATTTTAATTCATCTATGATTGTGGCTTTCACAGAATAAGTAGCAAGAACATTTGTTTTCATATTCTACATGCATGTAACATGACTATGACACTACTGATATGCAGCTTATGGCCATTTTTAAAAAATAATTCCCATGATAGTAAACCCAACTGTCTTATTGATTTATGCCAACCCTAGGTACTTACATTTCTCCTCCGTTAACTGTTTTAGAACCTCACCAACAATCTGTATTTTAAAAGAGAGGGAATGTTAGCTTTAGGAACACTGTAGACTTGTTTATGATTCCTTGAAAAAAATATGAATTCTCTACAGCAGCCTTTCTTTATTAAGTGCTCTCCTAACATGTTAGATTGTGCTCTTCTCTAGAATTGTTCAACTTCCTGAAAACATTAGAGCCACAGGCCACTCACTTAAGCTAAATGTATCAGCTTCAGGGCAAATAGGACTCTTATGTGTTGTCCAGGTAAAGCTTAAGTTTACTTGCTCTCATCGAGTCTATTGCAGATACCACTACATCATATGGAACTAAGCTGGCCACAAATGGAGACATAGTAATAATACTAATAATAATAATAATAATTAGTGCTCTTCCCTGTGTCAAACTTCCAACCTGTCCCGTCTTCAGTCTTGCTGGCACAAGGATTTAACCACTATGGATCCATTTTTCCAATAGGAAAAAATAACAAGAAAAACTCAGCCATTATCAGGAACTCAAAATCGAACTGCAAAGGCTCTGGCATAAACCAGGACAGGTGGTCCCAGTGGTAATCGGCACACTGAGTCTCAGCCGGCATTTTAAAGCAATAAACACTGACAAAATCATGATCTGTCAACTGCAAAAGGCCACCTTACTTGGATCTGCGCACATCATTCAAAAATCCATCACACAGTCCTAAACGCTTGGGAAGTGTTTGGCTTGTGATTTTGTGATACAAAATCCAGCATATAGATCTCGTTTGCTACGTCATACTGTGTTTTAATGTCAGTAAAATAATAATAATGCTTTATTTATATTCTGCCCTATCTCCCTGAAGGGACTCAGGGCGAATTCCAGTCACAAAAAGGCAAACATTCAATGCATGAACATAACAACTAATAGACACATAATATTTATTTTTTTACAACACGTATATGCCACCCTTCTCACCCCGAAGGGGAGTCAGAGCGGCTTACAAGTTATATGTAAATACAATATATTATATTATTAGCACAGCACAATATTATTACCATACATTCCCATATTGTACTATATTATTATACTGTAATATTATTAGTAATATTACATGTAATATGAAATATATAATTATATTATTATATTGCATTATAACATTATTACCAATATTATATGTGTATACAATATATTATATTATTAGCACAGCACAATATTAGTATTATATATTACTAAATTGTACTATACCACTATACTGTAATATTATAATAATATTATTATATTATAATAACAAAAATTAAACTCCATAGCATATAAAAACAAATTACAACTTAGTGAATTAGAATAAAATTTAAACAATTTATTATATCAGACATAAAACATAAAAAGCGTCAATTTCCCAGAGTCAATAGAGTTCCTTGGACTGCTCAAGATGGGGCAGAAAGACCCAAGTACAGATTGCAGATGTTACTCAGAGGTATAATAGCTTTAAGAGCTATTGACAGGACTTAAGGGGTTGATTTCCTACTGCTGAACAGAAGAAGCCCTTAGGGGATGACCAAGGGAAAGGAGAATTATTTCTTGTTGCTGCATTTCATGCAACAACATGTCTGCAGGAAATGTGGATCCATGGAGATATCAGCATGGAGCCATGACCTCTTTGTCTTGCAGAGAAACTAAAAGTCATTGAAACTGGTCAGTCTATGGTCCAAGGGAGGTGGAGAGGACAATTTTTTCACCCCAAGCTCATATTGGTGACAGCAAGTCCAGGAATAGGAAAAACTTGATATAGATAAGCAACCAGGTGCGGTTAAATGCATACATTCTTGCAAACAGGTAACTGTAACCTACTTTGAAGCTTACATAAAATCGGAGATTTCTAAAAACAGCAATAATTTACAAGGATTAGGGAGCAAGTGAAAGCAAAAAAGTTTCAAGTATAAAGAAAAACCATAACACTTTTTAAAATCCAACTTCTCTAAACATTTACAATACTTTCATTATTTTTATAGCCAACTTCCATAGACCAAAGAACTATGCCAGAGGATCTGGAGTTATTAGAAGTGTTGTCTCAATTTTTTTAAAAATGCCTTCGCAATTTTTATTAATACAATAATAATCCATTAAAAATCAATTCTGCAAAAGTTAAACCCACAAACCCAAATTCAGAAACACAACAGCTTAGAACAGAAGTGGGGACAGCAAGATATTGTTGAACTCCAACTCTCAGCAGGTATGTGGGGACTGTCAAGAGATGGTGGGAGCTAGCATTATCATATCTGGAGCGCTAAAAGTTCACTAAACTTGGATTAAAGGTACACAAAATATCTCCTTTTCCATTCAGATGCACCTCTCCCCTTATTTCCACTCCCAAAGACAGTTTTCCTTTACAGAATTAGGCAGTTAGCCATGACTTACCTGTCCAACACTTTGCAGGGCCTTGAGATCATTTTCAGATTTCTCATACTGCTTGGTAAGCTCTTTCAGTTGTTCCCTCACTATAATAAAAAATGACAGGGGGGGAATACTATGTACATGAGATCAAACTAGCTGGGATTTTTGAGAGTTAAAAGGCTGCATCTACATTCTAGACCAGGGGTCCTCAAACTTTTCAAACAGAGGGCCAGGTCACAGACCCTCAAACTGTTGGAGGGCCGGATTATAATTTGAAAAAAAATGAATGAATTCCTATGCACACTGTGCATATCATATTTATAGTGCCAAAAACACTTAAAAACAATACGATAATTAAAATGAAGAACAATTTCAACAAATATAAACTTATTAGTATTTCAATGGGAAGTGTGGGCCTGCTTTTGGCTGATGAGATAGGATTGTTGTTGTTGTTGTTGTTGTTGTGTGCTTTCAAGTCATTTCAGACTTAGTTTGACCCTGAGCGAGGGCCGGGTAAATGACCTTGGAGGGCTGCATTCGGCCCCCGGGCCTTAGTTTGAGAACCCCTGTTCTAGACTGTAGAATTACTGTAATCTGACACTGCGTTAACTGCTGTGGCTCAATACTATGGAATCATGAGAACTGTAGTTTGGTGAAGCATAACCATTCTTTGGCAGATTGTACAAAACTACACCCCCCCCCCCCGGTGGTGCAGCAGGTTAAAGCATTGAGCTGCAGAACTTGCTGACTGAAAGGCTGGCGGTTCAAATGCAGGCAGTGAGGTGAGCTCCCGCTGTTAGGCCCAGCTTCTGCCAACCTAGCAGTTCAAAAACATGCAAAGATGAGTAGATCAATAGGTCAATATCCTGCCAGATATACTCTGGCAGGAAGGTAATGGCTCTCCATACAGCCACATGACCTTGAAGCTGTCTACGGACAACGCCAGCTCTCTGTCTTAGAAATGGAGATGAACACCACCCCCCAAAGTTGGCCACAACTGGACTTCATGTCACGGGGAAACCTTTACCTGAAAAACTACAAACCCTGGGATTACATACCATTAAGTTAAGGACCCTTGAACACAGCCCTATATCCCAGGATATCAAGGCACAAAATTCCACATAATCTGAGTGTGGACCTTGATAACCCACTTCAAAGCAAATATTGTGGGATTTTCTGCCTTGGTATTCTGGGATATAGGGCTGTGTGGAAGGGCCCCAAAACAGTCAAAATAGTGTCAAATTGCATTCAAACTCCTGAAGGATGAAAAGCTGGGAACTGTTGTAGAACAATGGTTCTCAACCTGTGGGTCCCCAGATATTTTGGCCTTCAACTCCAAGAAATCCTAACAGCTGGTAAACTGGCTAGGATTTCTGGGAGATGTAGGCCAAAACACCTGGGGGTCCCACAGGTTGAGAACCACTGCAGAAGATAAATAACCCCCCCCCCCAAAAAAAACACACACACACACACCCACACACAAACTGAACGGCGTGTCCAGCTGGGTAAAAGGGATCCACCATGACCAAAACTAAGGTCTTCTACACTGCCATACAAAATCCAGATTATCTGCTTTGATCTGAATTATATGGCAGTGAAAGGTCATATAATGGATAATGGAGAAAGACAGGGAGTTTTAAAAAAACATTATTTCTGCTTCATTGACTATTCTAAAGCCTTTGACTGTGTGGATCATAATAAATTGTGGGGATACCATATCACCGTGTGTCTCTCCTGAGGAATCTGTATAAAGACCAAGTAGCAACAGGAAGAACTGACCATGGAACAACAGACTGGTTCAAGATTGGGAAAGGCTTACGGTAAGGCTGCATACTCTCACCCAACCTATTCAAGTTGTATGCAGAACACATCATGCGATATGCGGGGCTTGAGGAATGCAAGGCTGGGATGGAAATGGCTGGAAGAAACATTAACAACCTTAGATATGCAGATGATACCACTTTGATGGCCGAAAGTGAGGAGGAGCTGAGGAGTCTTCTAATCAAGGTAAAAGAAGAAAGCGCAAAAGCTGGGTTCCAGATAAACATCAAGAAAACCAAGATTATGGCAACAAGAATGATTGACAACTGGGAAATAGAGGGAGAAAACGAGGAGGCTGAGACAGGGTTTGTATTTCTAGGTGCAAAGATGACTGCAGACGCAGACTGCAGCCAGGAAATCAGGAGATGCTTCCTTCTTGGGAGGAGAGCAAGGACCCATCTCGACAAAATAGTGAAGAGTAGAGACATCACACTGGCAAACAAGATCCGCACAGTCAAAGCAATGGTATTCCACGTAGTCACCTATGGATGTGAGAGCTGGACCATAAGGAAGGATGAGCGAAGGAAGAGAGATGCTTTTGAACTGTGGTGCTGGAGGAAAATTCTGAGAGTGCTGTGGACAGCGAGAAGATCCAACCAGTCCATCCTCCAGGAAATAAAACCCAACTGCTCATTGGAGGGAAGGATATTAGAGGCCAAGATGAAGCACTTTGGCTACATCATGAGAAGAAAGGAAAGCTTTCCCCACTTATGCTGGGGAAAATGGAAAGAAAAAGGAAGAGGGGCCGACCAAGGGTAAGATGGATGCATGGCATCCTTGACGTGACTGGATTGACCTTGAAGGAGATGGGGGTGTAGTGCCCAATTCTGGGCACTACAATTCAAGAGAGATATTGACAAGCTGGAATGTGTCCAGAGGAGGGCGACTAAAATGATCAAGGTCTGGAGAACAAGCCCTATGAGGAGCGGCTTGGGGAGCTGGGCATGTTTAGCCTGAAGAAGAGAAGGCTGAGAGGAGATATGATAGCCATGTATAAATATGTGAGAGGAAGCCACAGGGAGGAGGGAGCAAGCTTGTTTTCTGCTTCCTTGGAGACTAGGACGCAATGGGACAATGGCTTCAAACTACAAGAAAGGAGATTCCCTCTGAACATGAGGAAGAACTTCCTGACTGTGAGAGCTGTTCAGCAGTGGAACTCTCTGCCCCGGAGTGTGGTGGAGGCTCCTTCTTTGGAAGCTTTTAAACAGAGGCTGGATGGCCATCTGTCAGGGGTGATTTGAATGCAATATTTCTGCTTCTTGGCAGGGGGTTGGACTGGATGGCCCATGAGGTCTCTTCCAACTCTTTGATTCTATGATTCTATGTTCAGATGGAATCTCCTTGCTTGTACTTTGAAGCCATTGTTTCACGTCCTAGTCCCCAGAGTAGAAGAAAACAAGCTTGCTCCCTCCTCCCTGTGGCTTCCTCTCACATACTTCCTCTCATCCTTCTCTTCTTCAGGCTAAACATGCCCAGCTCCTAAGCCGCTCCTCATAGGGCTTGTTCTCCAGACCCTTTATCATTTTAGTGCCCTCCTCTGGACACATTCCAGCTTGTCAATATCTCTCTTGAATTGTGGTGCCCAGAAGGTAAGTTATGAGAGGAGATATGATAAATATGTGAGAGGAAGCCACAGGGAGGAGGGAGCAAGCTTGTTTTCTGCTTTCCTGGAGACTAGGACGCAATGGAGCAATGGCTTCAAACTACAAGAAAGGAGATTCCATCTGAACACGAGGAAGAACTTCCTGACTGTGAGAGCCATTCAACAGTGGAACTCTCTGCCCCGGAGTGTGGTGAGGGCTCCTTCTTTGGAGGCTTTTAAACAGAGGCTGGATGGCCATCTGTCAGGGGTGCTCTGAATGCAATATTCCTGCTTCTTGGCAGAATGGGGTTGGACTGGATGGCCCAGGAGGTCTCTTCCAACTCTTTGATTCTATGAAAGTGCCTGGAGCAAACTTTTGTTGAGAGGTGATTAGATGTCCTTGTTTATTTGCTCTCTGTTGTTTTGCTGTTGTAATTTTAGAGCTTTTTTTTAATATTGATAGCCAGAGATTTTGTTCATTTTCATGGTTTCCTTTTTTCTGTTGAAATTGTCCACAAACTCTGAACTAAGAGATAGCGAACATTGACTGGCAATAAGGAGTAATTGGTTTATATCGGTTTGTATGAAATTTTTATTGGTTTTATTGTTTTTAGTGAGTATAGATGTAATGTATTGCTGCTGATTGTAATTTGCGTTATTCTGTTTTTATTGTTGCTGTATGTTACGGGCATCGAATTGTGCCTTGGTTGTGTAAGCCGCCCTGAGTCCCCTTCGGGGTGAGAAGGGCGGGGTAAAAGTAAACCAAATAATAAATAAATAAATAAATAAATAGGTTCTTGTGGGTTTTTTCGGGCTATAGAGCCATGTTCTAGAGGTAGTGAGGATGCTTGCCATAGATGCAGGCGAAACGTCAGGAGAAATGCCTGTAGAACATGGCTCTATAGCCCGAAAAAACCCACAAGAACCTAGTGATTCCAGCCATGAAAGCCTTCGACACATAAATAAATGCTTGTGAAGCCAACTCTTTTGTGTCTCAAATCCCAGCAAATGTGGAGAGCTGAGTGTAATTTTAAACTATATGATTCTATGATTCTAAGTCACGAAGAGTCGGAAACGAATGAACGAATGAACAACAACATGACCAAAACTAAGGTCTTCTACACTCCCATTCAAAATCCTGATTATCTGCTTTGATCTGAATTATATGGCAGTGTAGGCTCATATAATCCAGTTCAAAGCAGATAACGTGGATTATCTGCTTTGATAATCTGGATTATCTGCTTTGATAATCTGGATTATCTACTTTGATAATCTGGATTACATGGCAGTGTAGAAGGAACCACATTTCAACAGAGAGAAATGTATATTACTGCTGTGAGGCAATAAAAACAAAATGCAGAGAGAAAGAATGGGTATATCTGGAGTCTTGGCATGTGATGTGGCAGCTAAGAATGCCATGTTCTGGAGGCTGAGGCCTTGTGAGGCCCAGGAATGACAAAGCACGCCCGGGAGGGAAGGCCTGCTGAGCCCGGAGAGAGGCCTGCGTGCCTGGCCTGGCCTCCGGAGCCCCTCCACCCGCTTCCCGGCCCGTCCACTCACGCTCCTTGAGGCGCCCGTCGATCTCCTTGTGCTCCAGCAGCTTCTTGCGGTAGTCCTGCAGCGCCTTGTCCCGCGGCTCCGCCATCTTGGATGAATGATCAGCAGCCCGGGCCGGAAGCCGGCTCCCGCTGCCGCGCGTGCGCACACACGCACCGAGCGCTCCCTCTACCGGCCGGGAGGGGAATAGCAGCAAGTATTTTGGCTTCTAAAGGCTGTTTTGCAGGCTTCGACTCCCGCGCATGCGCGCACACGCACGGCTCCCTCTACCGGCCGGGAGGAGAAGTGCAGCAATCATCTTGACTTCTAAAGTCTGTTTTGCCGGCCTCGACTCCTGCGCATGCGCACACACGCACGGAGCGCTCCCTCTACCGGCCGGGAGGGGAATGGCAGCAATCATCTTGACTTCTAAAGTCTGTTTTGCTGGCCTCGACTCCTGCGCATGCGCACACACGCACGGAGCGCTCCCTCTGCCGGCAGGGAGGGGAATTCCAGCAATCATCTTGACTTCTAAAGTCTGTTTTGCCGGCCTCGACTCCCGCGCATGCGCACACACGCATGGAGCGCTCCCTCTGCCGGAAGCGAATGGAATGACAGCAACTATCTGGATGACTTCTAATCCTAAGGATCTTTTGCAGGCTTCGGCTGCTGCGCATGCGCGCACACGCTCCCTCTACCGGCGGGAAGAGGAATGACAACAATTGTCTCATTGATAACATCAAAGGATTTTGTGTTTTTGGTCTGATCCTTGACCTGGAAATCCGAAATGCTTCAAAACTATGGGTAGATGCATATGCACAATGGCTCTATTTGGACACTAATTTTGTTTAATTTATTTATTTATTTATTTGATGCACTTATTAACCGCCATTCTCAGCCCTTACGGGCGACTCATGGCGGTGTACAGTACACATAAAAAGACAGTTACAAAAGCCAGTATCAACAACATATAACTATACAACCACTACAAACTACATAAAAATCCGCTTCGTCTCTTAGTAGAATCATAGCCAGTCTCATCTTCCTTATGCCATTCCAGTTCCCATTATCATAATGTTGTTGCTTAGCACTTAATTAAATGCCCTCTCGAACAGCCAGGTCTTAAGGCTTTTTCGAAAGGACATGAGGGAGGGCGCCTGTCTGATGTGTGCAGGGAGAGTGTTCCACAGCCGGGGGGCCACCACCGAGAAGGCCCTCTCCCTCGTCCCCGCCAGCCGTGCCTGTGATGCAGGCGGGATCGAGAGAAGGGCCTCCCCAGACGATCTCAAGGTCCTCGTGGGCTCGTAGGCCAAGATGCGGTCGGCAAGGTATTTTGGGCCGGAACCGTTTAGGGCTTTGTAGGCCAAGACCAGCACCTTGAATTGGGTCCGGTAGCAAATCGGCAGCCAGTGGAGCTGGGACAACAAGGGCGTTGTGTGCTCCCTGCTACCCGCTCCAGTTAGTAACATGGCTGCCGCACGCTGAACCAGCTGAAGCTTCCGGGCCGTCTTCAAGGGCAGCCCCACGTAGAGAGCGTTGCAGTAGTCAAGCCGGGATGTGACCAGAGCGTGTACCACCGTGGCCAAGTCAGACTTCCCGAGATACGGGCGCAGCTGGCGCACGAGCCGAAGCTGTGCAAATGCTCCCCTGGTCACCGCTGAAACCTGGGGATCCAGGCTCAACGATGAATCCAGGGTCACACCCAAGCTGCGAACCTGCGCCTTCAAGGGGAGTGCAACCCCGTCCAGCACAGGCTGTAATCCCGTTCCCTGTTCGGCCTTTCGACTGACCAGGAGTACCTCTGTCTTGTCTGGATTTAGTTTCAGTTTGTTCGCCCTCATCCAGACCGTTACAGCGGCCAGGCACCGGTTCAGGACCTCGACAGCCTCCTTAGTAGCAGGTGGAAAGGAGTGACAGAGTTGGACATCATCTGCGTACAAATGACACCGCACCCCGAAACTCCGGATGATCTCACCCAGCGGCTTCATGTAGATGTTAAACAGCATGGGGGACAGTATGGAACCCTGTGGCACCCCACAAGTCAAAGGTTGTGGTGCGGAACAGGAGTCCCCCAATAACACCTTCTGGGTGCGACCCTCCAGAAATGACCGGAGCCACTGCAAAGCAATGCCCCCAAGACCCATTTCCGCAAGGCGCCCCAGAAGGATACCGTGGTCGACGGTATCGAAGGCCGCTGAGAGGTCCAGGAGCACCAACAGGGACACACTCCCCCTGTCTAGCTCCCGGCGCAGATCATCCACTAAGGCGACCAAGACCGTCTCGGTACCATGTCCCGGTCTGAAACCAGACTGTGCCGGATCCAGAATATCCGTGTCTCTCAAGAATACCTGGAGTTGTGAGGCCACCACGCTTTCCATGACTTTGCCCAAAAAGGGGAGATTGGAAACAGGCCGAAAGTTGTCGAATTTAGTGGGGTCCAGTGATGGTTTCTTCAACAGCGGCTTTATAATAGCCTGTTTTAGGCTCGCTGGAATCTTGCCTTCCCGAAGGGAGGCATTCACCACCACTGTTACCCACTCAGCCAATCCCCCTCTGGCCTCTCTCAGAAGCCAGGATGGGCAGGGGTCTAGGATGGACGTGGTGGGCCTCATTCCTCCAAGTATCTTGTCCACATCCTCGGGTTTCACAAACTGAAAAGAATCCAACAAAATGGGACAAGCAGGTGCTCTCGTTACATCCACAGAGTCTGCATCTAACGCGGCGTCCAGCCCAGAACGGATCAAGGCGACTTTGTCTGCGAAGAACCGAGCAAATGCTTCACAGCGCGCGACCGAATTGTCAGGGCTCCCACCTGCAGAGGAGGGAGTTAAAAGACCTCTGACAATCCGAAACAACTCCGCCGGACGGTTCTTTGCAGACGCAATAGTGGCCGCAAAGAAAGTTTTCTTTGCGGTCTTTATTGCCGCGGCATATGCCCTAAGAAAGGACACAAACCGTGCTCGGTTTGACTCGCTCGGTTCCGAACGCCACACGCTCTCTAGTTCCCTCTTCCTTCGCTTCATAGCTGCCAGCTCCTCAGTAAACCAAGGGGCTGGTTTAGCTCGGCTACTTGAGAGGGGACGTTCCGGAGCAATCATGTCAATAGCCCTGGTCATCTCCCCATTCCAGAGAGCCACCAAGGCTTCGACATGGTCACCTACCATGGTGGCGGGAAAATCCCCAAGAGCCGTCAGGAAACCATTCGGATCCATCAGTCTCCTGGGGCGGACCATCTTAATGGGTCCTCCACCTTTGCAGAGGTTAGGGGGTGCAGTGAGCCTAAATCTGATCAGGAAGTGGTCGGTCCATGGCAACGGAGAGATGGACAACTCCTCCACACCGCCACCCTGTCCCATCCCTGGCAGAAAACCAAATCCAATGTGTGTCCAGCACAGTGGGTGGGGCCAGATTTGTTGGGACAGCCCCATGGTTGCCATGGCAGACATGAAGTCCTGAGCCGCACCTGTGAGGGTCGCCTCGGCATGGACGTTGAAGTCTCCCAGCACAAGAAGCCGTTGAGACTTCAATGCCAGGCTCGAGACCACCCCCGCTAGCTCAGGTAGGGAGACTGTAGTGCAGCGAGGTGGACGGTACACTACTAGAATCCCTATACTGTCCCGGTCACCCACCCTCAGGTAGACGCTTTCAAAATTTGCGGTCTGTGGGATGGGGCACCTGGTCAGATGGATGGAGTCCCTATAGACTACTGCGACCCCGCCTCCCCGCCCTCCGGATCTAGGTTGGTGCTGCACGGAGAAACCCGGAGGACAAAGCTGGGTCAGATTTACTCCTCCAGCTTCATCCAACCAGGTCTCCGTGATGCACGCCAGATCTGCCCGTTCGTCCAGGATTAAGTCCTGGATCCAGGACGTTTTTCCGTTGACAGATCTGGCGTTCAACAGCACCACCTTCAAACCGGAGGGTCCGCTCACCTGGTTACACCAATTTACCTTAGGAGACCGATTTGGAATTTTGATTATGGATAAGTGGTCCGAATTTGGCCGAATTTGAGGTCTCCTTTTCCCGCATCTCCTCCTTCCCACCACGACCTCTATGGGGGCCCCTCGGCTATTGGAACACCTCCCCTCCTCCATGCCGCTATTCCTGGCTAAGGTCTTAATCACAATTTCACCAGCTGTTTGGGGTGTTGGCGCTTTATCTTGCCAATTGTGCTGGCCTTCTTCATCTCCCCTCTCCCCCTCATTGTTTCCCACAGGCTCCAGCCCACTGCCTCCCCAGCCCCTTCCACCAGATAATAGTAAAACGGACAGTAAGCATAGGCGGATGGAGAGCCACATGGAAATGAACACTTCGGTAGATGGGGGATACCGGAGGCAAGCGTAGCCCCGTATAAGATGGTTCTTTAAATACTAGAATATTAAAGTACAAAGTGCAACGTAAATTCCGCGGCTACCGAGTAATTCTTAAGGTGCAAGATTTTATAAAGTGCAGCAAGATATTAAAGTGCAACAGCCTCAGCGGAAAATATTTGGCCCTCTATGCTACTAAAGTGCGGCAGGAGGAGTTGGGGGGTAAAGTGCAACAGTTGATAAAGTGCAACAGTTGGCTACGGAACAGGCGCCACTGAGCGCTATATTATGTTCTTATTATACATTAGCAACAAAGGTAGGGTGGACTATACCGTGCAGTGTTCGCAAAATGTACACAGTAGTCAGGAGACTGGAAGTTAGTAAAGTGCTATGATTCAGATGTAAACTATCGACGACTGATGTAAATAGCGGATGCAAAACATTATTTAAAAGTTGTGTATACAATTAGTTTCAAGTTATGTCTATACAGTGACTGTACAGAAAACACAAATGGGTATTTATTTTTAAGTCCCCAATTTCATTCTATTTTAGTGTTTATATTTTAAGCTAAAGATCTCTAAAGATCACCTGGGAAGGAATCCCACTGGAGCATTGCAGCACATCCAAATACCTGGGAGTACCTGGATTGTGCTCTGACCTACAAGAAGCACTGCCTGAACATCAAGCAAAAAGTGGGTGCTAGAAACAATATCATACGAAAGCTGACTGGCACAACCTGGGGATCACAACCAGATACAGTGAAGACATCTGCCCTTGCGCTGTGCTACTCTGCTGCTGAGTACGCATGCCCAGTGTGGAACACATCTCACCACACTAAAACAGTGGAT